TAGACAGTGTAAGCAATTGTATGTCCTCTTTACTTGCTAATTCTGGAAGGTTATCCATGGCGTCAAAAAAGATCTCCTCCTCTTCTTCGATAGCATGGATTTCTTTGCCAGGTTTGATGAGAGATGAAGGAACAACCTCGTTTTACTCATCATAGATGGCCAAGGAGTGAGCAAGAGGCGCATTATCAATACTTGGCTTCTTACTGGCAGGGGGCAATGGCAGCTTGTTGTTGTCGATTAAGTCTTGGATAGCTTCTTTAAGCTTCCAACAGTTCTCGGTAAGATGGCCCCTACCTTGGTGATACTTGCAATGTGCATTGGGGTTCCAGTTAGCCATCCTTTTTTCGACTGGTGGGTCCCCAAATGGTCCAATAGGAGTTATAAGACCTTTTGCATTTAATCGGTCAAATGCGGTGTCATAACTCATGCCAATAGGAGTAAAATTCCTCCTAAATGGTTTCTTTTGTCCTTGATTATTCATAGCAAGGACTTCATATAGGTTAAAAGTGCTAGCATTGTTTGAGTGGGTGGTTTTAGAAGAAGAAGGATTGTCGTTCTTCTTGCCTTTCCAGCCACTGTTGGAGTTATTGTTGGCAGCTTTCAACTTAGCCAGGTCGTCTTCAATAGTAATTCCAATGTCGTAGACGGCCTTGAAGGTATGGAGATTATTCTGATATTTGAGATGCTTGGAGTACTTTTCTTGAAGGTTTTTGATGAATAACCTTACGGACTCTTTTTCACTGGGCACCTCAATCATCTTAGCTGAGGTTTTTCACCATTTGTTAAAGAAGGAGATGAAGCCTTCATTCTCCTTCTTCTTGAGGATTTCAAGTTCCCTATGGTCGGTCTCAACTTAAATATTGCATTTGTATCTATCAACGAAAGCGTTTGCTATGGACTCCCAGGTAGAGGTTTTTTCTTTCTCGAGAGAAAAGAACCATTGCTGGCTAACGGTCTCGAGAGATAGTGAGAACAAAGAGGGGAACACTTTCTTGTCGATACCTTTAATACTCATTATTGTTTCGAAGGCTCTTAAATGAAAATACGGGTTATCAATTGCTTTGAATTTCGGGATGTCGTTGGCATTGAACTTCTGCGGAAGAAGATCCTTGTCCACCGAGACCCCTTGTGAGCTAATCCCTTGAAACTTGTAGTCTCTAAATAGCTTGCTCAGACTCTCTTGCATGAGTTCCATCTGCTGTTGTTTCACGGGATCATCGATCTTGAGGGTTAGAATCTTTAATGCTTCAGTCACGGTAACCAGTTGGTTTCTGAGTTCATTGACTTCTTCTTCTGTTGCCATTACTGTCCTAGCTTTCCTCTTACGAGCGATGGGTTTGTCGAAAAGTTGGACTTGTACAAAAAGATTGTCTTTGATTTAACCGCCCTTCCTTTCTTGACCACGCGATGTAATTTAAACCATTTTTGTTTTAATTATTTGACTCAAATCGACCTTGACTTTACGATTTTAAAGAGGAAAAGTAAAAATAGGTGCATATTTGTGGCAAAAATAAAGTATATATTTTTAGGGATCAAGTAAAGTATTTTAATCAAGTGATTTAAACTGGAGGATTAATATCCGACTTACCCCCCTAAAAAAATGACGGAAAAACGCGCATACAAGACTTTCTTAGACATGGTCAAAAGTGTGTATTGGTGTGTGAGTTATGTGGTGAGTGTAAGTGACATGCTTGGACTTATGTGTAAGACCATGGGAGTTAGTGCCTAGACTCAATTAATGACTTAACAAGGCATTATTAATAGTAAAAGTTAACTGAATTAATTAGCAAACTGTTTAATTGGACACAAAGTGATGACTCGAGCAATAAACCGAATTGTCGTCAATACGACAGGACTGGTGCCTCTCTTTGCATTGTAGCGCCAGACGACAGGATTGTCGCCAGGCGCCACACTCCATAGGGTGGCGCTACAGTTCAAACTTCGACGCCATTTCTGGAGCGTCGATCTGAAACTGTTTTCGGTATTATTGATCAACAGGGGTATACCTAAAGTTGTACTAAGTCAACTCTGGTTAAAATATTAGACTTTATTTACACTAATTAATTAATTAATTAATTAGGAAAATTTCTTTTAGCCAATAATTTATTTAATCTTAGCACAAGTCAAACAAACAGTTAGGAAAAACACATAGAGTATGCACAACAAATAATGCACAATTAGTCAAGTAGGCACAATATGATGCAATGAGTTTTCAACCTAACCATGGCTCTAGTTCTCTAAAATTTGGGATATGGGTTAGTCAATATAGGGTCCATGGTTAATTGTCGGATGCACCGCGTGGAAGCTTAACCGTGAAGGGTTGGCGCGAGTGGATGGGACACCGCGAATTTCGAAAAACTCGCTTCCATGGTTTGGTGAATTCAACATTCTCGGATGTACCCTTTGTTGCTCAGAGCGTTCAATCAGGTAGATGGAGCATGAATTCCCAGAGGGTTATGTCCATATGTAGAACACATATGGGTTTCAAAAAAGTGAGAAAAACTCAATCAGGAAGTAGGATCGAGCAAACAATGCTAAAAACTGGTCGAAATTAGAACGCATATTTCTGGCTCGGTATTGGAAGAACTTGGCGCCAGCAAACAGAGGCTAGCGCCACTTTTGGGCTTTAGCGCTTGGCGACAGAGGCTGTCATCTGGCGCTAAAGTCAAAATACTGGCGCTAATCTTTGTTCGCTGACGCTAGTTCCTACATGCCTCAGCAGCTTTCTGTGCTCGATAAAATTTTCCAGTTTCGCGCAGTGTTATTTCGATCGTAGTTGTGAAAGATATTCCTCAAATTTCCTACGTGTAAAAATCTTATGTTTTTAACTCATTACGGATGGTCTTTCCAATAAGATCTTTTTTATGCGTATGACAATAATGTTAATCAAAATTACGCACATGAAATACTTAGAACTTTTCGAGTCTCATCCACTCATTCTAAATCATTGCCGAAATAAATTTCAGGAATTAAAATAGAAATCCTCCCTAGTGGAGTCGCCAAAAACTGTAGGGAATACTTCAAGCATTACCCCTAGCTTAAACCCCATTGTGATCATACACTTAAGTACGGTGGCGTCCAAAGGGAAAGAAGATAGAGCAAAAGAGTCGCCAACAAGTTTTAGGAACTTGTAAACCGTTCACGAGGTGAAGGTTACACCCCTTAACGATCCAGGAGATCGTCAACTCCAATAGGTCTGGAACCATGACTGGTAGTTTGGGGATGAAGGTACAAATCCAACCTAAAAGAGATTGAACCTGCCCTAATAATAGGCCTCTACTTTATTCTGATCATATTCATGTGCGCTTGCTGACTAACATACAATCAATAGGTTTAACCCTAAACCTGTTTATCTATGTTGGTTGAATTTAATGCATAAACAAATCTATTATTGGCGATCACTTGAATTATAATCAAATTAACCCTAAATAAGATTATTAATTATCTTATTAAGCGTGATTACAAGTACAAATTCCCTTTAAACATGCATAAAAGGTGTGATCAAGCAATAACAATAAATATAAAGCAACATAATAATAATCATAAAAATAATAATAATGATAAAATAATCATGTTAATGCATAATAAGAGCAAGATCCTAGGCATGATACTAACAAGATTAATAACAAACCCTAGCATGTCACGAAGCAATAAAAATTAAAACTTTAGCCCTAACATGATACTAACGATCATAAATATTAGGAAGAAAATAAAAGGCATCATACTTTTAATCATACTTGATATTGTAGTTACCCTAGACATGATACTAGGAAGATCAAAATACCCTAACATGACATTAGGAATCATAATAACAACCTAAGCATGATTTTTACATCATAACATCAATATAAACCATTAAAGCACTAATTTGGATGTCTCCTACCTCTTTCTAATAACAAAATACACGCGTTAGTAACTTCAAGGAAAATAATAAACAAAACAATTAAATTAAATAATTGAAAGAGAGATTTGGGACCAAACCCTCAGAAATTAAAACCTTTCACGTCTATGGCGAAGGCAACTTCGAATTATGCTAGTTGTATCTAGGTCTTGTGAATGCGGAATTTTGTATTTGAGAAAAGGCTAGTTTAGAAAAGAGAGAGAGAACATATCAAGAATTTCTTGATGAGAGTTGGTGAGAATTGGTGAAAATTGGTGAGAATTGATGACTGAAAACGGAGTTTTTAGAAGGCTATTTATAGAGAAAATCGTCCAAAAAGATAGAAAATCGAAACAGAGTTCTGACGCGCATAAACAAGATTAGCGCCAGACACTGAGATTAGCGACAGGCGCTAACGCTAGCGCCAAGCGCTAATGACTGGCGTTTGGCGCTGATTAAATTTCTGACGCGTTTTCTAAATTTAGATAGAAATTAATCGTACAGGAGGATAAAATCGTATTTTCCTCAAAAACATTATTTTATTCTGATTAAAACTCTAAAATTCAACAAAAGGTAATTTATCAATGCTAATTGAATTAGGAATGAAAGGAACCTTCTAGAAGAATCTAGAAGACTAAAACCATTCCTAATTGCATTAGGAATGATAAATCCATATTAGGCCCTCCTCTAGATCATTGGGCCGCATATAAGGCTCAAACCGGGCCCAGTTTAGTAATTTGGCCATAACTTCCTCAATATTCATCGGAATTGGGCTTATAATATATCGTTGGAAAGCTCTTTTCAAGCCCTATCCAACTACACTACTATTGGACCCATATCATGGACCAACTAAACTGGATTGGCTGTTTTCTTAAAATAGGTTTTCAAAAACAGAGAGAAAAGAAAAGAAATTAAAACTATCCGCAACACTAGACTTTCCACACTTGTACTTCATTCGATTACGATTCGACGTGAAACGTACTCATCACCGGGTTTGGTTTTGGGGAGACACAAATGGGTGTCTACAGGTTTTATTTCTTGTAATTCAACTTATAATATTTAATTAAAATTAATTTATATAAAGTATTATTTAACCTTAACTTCCTTTGGAATTATTAAAAAGGGGCCCAAGTTTTAAAATAGCACATGCCCCGAAATTCTTTGCCACGCCCCTGTCTCCCCCTAAACCACCACCCCATCCCCAAAACTCCCCCCCCCCCCCTCTCTCACCGAAACCCCATTAACAACCCAGCAGTCGAGAAAACCCATCGCCTCTTCCCCCACCATCGCGCTACCACAAACCAGCAGCTGTTGATCTCTCCATAGTTGATCTACGAACTCTGACCCAAATAACAAACTCACCACTGGTGGTCTATTGGATGTCCTAATGGTAAGATATGAGTCAATCAGTCACAATCGACGATGATTCCGATTCGTTTGAGGAGAGAGAAATCGCCGGAGTGTAACCCTTCATTTTTTTGCTGGAGGATGTCTTTGTTTTGTTTTCGATGGTCATATAGCTGCTTATTTGTGGTTGAGTTTTCGTGAGTGCTTTACTCAAGAATGTTGTTATTTTCACACAGGTTTTGCACACCTCTGATTCAACTATTTTGCTTTGTTTTTCCAACTGTTGATGTGCTTGTAGTTTCAAATTTTTGCAGATAATATGTGTTTTTTGAAACTTTGTGACATGATAAATCTTCTTCGGTGTGTTCACTAATGATGCTGGTGGTGGGATCGAAAGAAGTTATGCTAGAATATCTAACTGCGCGGATATTCTAGCATTGTTTTCTGTAAATTGTTTTCTGTATCTGAATGTGTTAGTCAAATAAAGATTCTATTGTATTCACTTTTGCCTATTTTTGTTTTATCATGGTTTTTGAATTTGTTCAGAACTTCCGTGGGACAATTATTTGAATGTGATGGTCAATTAAAGCTAGCAAAAGAAAAGTCTGCATCAAGATCTACAACCTGCTCAATTCATCAAGGGACGAAGGCACCACTGAGGACTAATGTGCACATAAAGGCTCTTTTACAGCTGCCATCTTCTCACATTAAGAGACGTAGAGGGCATTTCTCTTCTGGCAGACCAGGTCCTTCTGCTGCAAACATGTCAAGATTGTCAACCCCTTTGGTGAATTGGAAACCGTTGTGAAACGCATAAAGCATGGTTAATGTCCATAATTGGAAGGATAGAACACAACTTCCTCTATGGTAAATGGCTTCTCATTTTGTCAAGCTTTAGAGGAACTAATTATCTTTTGATGTTGGCTGCATTTATTATTAGCATTTTAAATCATTCCAAGAGTATTTCAATCTAGCTATTTGTACTTATTATATGTTCCCTTTTGTACTCCTTTTGCTACCACAGAACCTTAATCTACTATTGACAGGGTAAAGTCGTATCCCCTAATCAAAAGTAAATACCTAAGTCCTCTAACTAAAGTAGATACGGAAGTAGGGTCGAACTCCACATGAAACAAGTCTTTATATTCCTAATTAACTAAAATAATCTAGATTATGAAGTAACCAATATTTAAATGTGAATAACAAACTAAACTACAGAGATTGAGAATAGGGAGAAAACAATATATAAAAGGATATAGGGCATAGGTTCACCAATAAATAATACTTCAGGGTAAAACATAGTAATCAATCATTGACATTGCATATTTTCCTATTGAAAATAGCCTTTAATATCAAATTAACATCTGCGCGATTCATCAATTCAATATTGCTATATTTTTACAAGCCGCAATTGTAAAGCATTAAAACAATTCAATAAGAAATTATCATGCAATACCAATAATTAATAATAGTCAATCATCAATGCATCAATTAACCAGATTGTAAAGGGCTTTCGCTACGTATTACAATCACACAATTAATTTACCGGTATTAAATCTCATCTCTCGAATCTCGACTTAACCATCTATAAATTAACCTGCCTATTAAAACTAGACCTAAACATTAATTCTCATCTGTCGAATCTCGAATCAATGTTGTCAAACTCATGCATAAAAGATCAGGCCTAATCTAGTCACAGAGCATTAAATCAATCAATAGGAAATTAATCTAGCATTGATAATTAACAACAACAATTTACCCCTTCATATTATTTATGGATCCCCATAAACCCTAGAAATAGAACTACTCACACATATTAAAAACTAAACAAATCAAAGCAATAAAATAAGTCATGATGAAAGGAAATAAGATTAAGAGAAGAGAAATCGTTATCAAACTAATCTGTATTAATGGAAAATAATCAAGAACAAGAGTTAAGAGAAGAGTTAAGAGAGAGAAAAGATCCTAAGTAGAGAGAGAAAGTCTAAGAAAGAAGATCCTCCAAAAATTCCGTACAAAATCAAATTTAAACGTTTCCTAAAACAAAAGTTAAGGCTAAACTAATCAGGTCTCTTAAAAACGCGCGCCCGATCGGCGCCTTTTTCTTCGCGTTCTTCCCAAGCAGCATCGCCCGATCGTGCTAGATGCTCGCACGATCGGGCGCGCCTTAGCATGCACAACACTATGGTTTGCCACGCCCGATCGGGCTAGAGGTTGCCCGATCGTGTCTTTGCTCCCCTTGAGGCTTGGACTTCGATTGGGCTAGATTTCTCAGCCCAATCCGGATTTCCTCTCGGGTCTCGAATACTTGGTCCAAATGCCTAGGGATCCCAATTACCGAGCCCTTAATCACCGGCTCTCACTAATCCTGGGCTCCAAAAGTGGTCGTGTCCTTCTAGCTTCCGTAGTTGATCCATAAAGCCCGGGAAAATGCTCCAAGAGTGCAATTTCCTGTAAAATACAACTAAAACTACGAAAACACTAGAACACACAAATTAGTAATAAAAGTGACCCGAAAGAGCCAAAAACACTACTAATAACGACCAAGGGACGGGGGTAAAACACTATATAAAATGGCATATCAACTATGCCATTAAAGCTTATTGGTAGATGAACAATGCCTTTTTGTTTCAGAAGTCTTCTTAAATTGGATTATACTATAGCTTAGCAAAGTTTTTCCTTTCTTTTCCTCTCTTCCATTCATATGCATGTTTAAATTCTCTTCCATTAATTTTCTACCCCTAGTTGTTTTTCCTCTTACACCCTATCTGATCTCCATTCTCTTTTAGCTGGTCGTCATATTCTGAGAAGGTTTCTTCCCCATTAATGGTCCTTCAATCTTTGGATATGGAACGAGTACTGAAAATAGAGGTTTTGGTCTTCAAGCTAGCTCCCCTCCTAGGGTTTCAATTGCTGCTGAGATCTGTTGTTTATATTTGTTGAAGCTTAAAAGTTTTGATGATGAACGCAAAGAGTAAACTTCAACTAATAAGATTTCTCGTGTTGTAACTAGAACAGGTGAAGTGGACTTTGGAAGTGAAAGAGTAACTTATCTATGAAGACTCAAGGAGATTTCAAGGAAAGTTAAAGAAGATAGAAGAAGTGTTCTTTAGTTAGAACTATCTAGTGGTTGATAATGAAATCATGAAATGACTTTATGCCATGTAAAAGGCTTTCTTCTCATAAAAGGTTGACCAATTAGTTGTAAGCAATATATTGTACAGTGATTACAATAGCCCCCCCTTAAACTACTTGTGAGAGGAAAAACCAGAAAAAAAGGATGTCCATTGTTTCAGGTGTAACACATTATCTATTATTTATTCCCTTAAAAAAAATTGAATGTGTTCATTATATTGTACTCGTATGAAATTGAATATGATCATTAGATTGTACTCGTACGAAAAATTGAAGAAAAATAAAAGTAATCACTAACCTTCAATCTCAGATTAATTCAATCACGTGATCTGATCCCAAAAAGCATGTATGATTTGATTAGAACTCAAAACTGAAATATATTTCAACTTCCTAGAAGCAACATCACAATGTGTAGTTCACCTAATTGTATGATTAATATAGGGAAAATAAAACAGCAAACTCATAAACATCGAAGGAAAATTCTAATAAGATAATAAGGACCATCACAAATTCATAATGCAAGAAGATCAAATCAAGTGTGAAAATTCAACAGAGGATAATAATCATATCACCATTTATTATCAGTGGATTCGCATTGTTGCAAACTAATACTCGTAGTAAGATATTACGGTATCACGCTAACGAAATCCCCATGTATTGCATGAGAAACGAAGCCAAGGAGATGACATTAGAGCCCAAAACACTCATATAATAGTGTTACTATCTCAAATTCATAATAGAATTAATTGCTAAATATCATATCAAACAATATACTAAAACAGTCAAAATTACATTAATTATACTAGTTGGTATGTGATATATATTACCTTTGGATTCTAACACCTTATTGCAGCTAGATTGATAGGGCAGTAAGTTGTGTATTTCCTTTATCGTTAATGTTATGTACTAATACAACGGGACAAGCGAATCGACCCAAGGATGAAAGGATTTGATCTTTTCCGTAGCATCCGGTAAATTTGTGGCTTCGATCTCCCTAGCTTCTTTGGATTCTAGATCACAGCAAATGAAAACCTTTTGTAGACATCTTGTACGGTCAGCTATTGCTAATATGATACTGCGTCGTCCATCGCGGAAACCCAAATTATATATTTTAGCCTCCTCAAAATCAACATGTTTCAATTGCCCCGAGAGGTGATGAAAAATTTGAGTCCAAGATTTCTTGTCCTTGTTTAATACCCATATTTCCAAAGTATATGTTACAATACACAACTGTCCTCCTAAAATGGTCAATTCTGAGTCATTTTCATGGTTGATATAGGGTAAGTCTGTCTTTACCGGATGGGGTATCTCGTAATACCTTTGAGTGAAAAGATCAAAACACCTTATTCCTGTAAACACCCAAGGATTCATCCAATGGGAGGAGTTGTCAGCCAAGATAACAGCTCGGGGTGACATAAAAAAATGATTCAACCTCCATGGCGGGCTCGGTATGTTCACCCAGGCATCCGTTTTCAAACTGTATAGTAGAGCTTTTTCGACAAATAGATCTTTCCTCTATAAAAATGGCTAAAACCTTATAATCATCGGATACACTGTCATAACCGAATGCAACTTCAAGATTCAATAAATTCATCGGGGAATCGAGTGGTGGTATCAATCTAGTGGCTCGAGTGGCAGGATTGTAGAGAAACAGGCCTAGATTATTAGTGTAAGATTTGTAACAGTATAATGCTGATGAATGAAAACAAACTAGGCCATTGCAGGAGCCTAAAATACTTCCCATGGTGCGAGGCTTGATGATGTCTTTCGGATAAGCAAGTTCCGAAGCATGGTAATAGGGATGCTGGGATGTAGCTCTAAAAGTGTAGACTTTGGATTTCGAGCACTCGAAGAGGCCGTAATACGTTTCCAGGTTTGCTTCAAGGGGTCGACTGCGATGCAACTTCATGAACTTTGGATCTTTGGTAAGCATATACCACGATGAAGAGACACATGCAGATCGCAGCAGAGACTTAGCGGGTAGCCATGAGAGTATCTCAGTGATTAGTTCAAAGGGAAGGTAACAACAATCGGTCTTCGCTTTCTTCTTCATCCTCAATATGCTTTAATTTAACAACCACGGTACCAATTGTTGCTGCTTATATAGGGAGATAAACAAAGATCGATCATACCTTTTACAATTCCAATTAGGATTAGGATTGTTATTGCGGTTCGTTGTATTAGGGATATTTACTATTTACAACACCCTTGGTATCCAAGGTTTAAAGAACCTTGACTCCCAACCAAGGATGTGTAATACTTGGTCTTCAAGACATTATTTGGTTGACAAAAATAAAAAAATAAAATATTTTTTTTAATTTTTATCATGATAACCAATGAGAGAAGATTTATTTCCTAAACTAAACGTTAGATATTTTAATAGATATTGATTGAAAAGATAAACCAAATTATTATGGGATACCTGATGTATCATTTAGTAACAAAGGTATTGATTTCCTAAAAATAAGTAATAAAAAAAAAAGTTATAAGGAGAATTGAGAATCTTATATATAGGACCAAGTTATACTGAGAACCTCATGAATAAGGAGAACTGAGAACCTTTAACAGCCATACAATTAATAATTAAACGGAGAAACAAACGGTTACTGCTGTTCATAATCATTCTGAAAGGGTAAATTTATTAATAATCAAATTCTTCATTACCTACTAGCAATTTTAATAACAACTTCAAAAGATAATAATTTTTCTAGAATATGCACAAATAGTAGTTATTTTATTCGGAGAAAATTCAGAAAACACATACCTAATATGATTGTTTCTACTTGTTCCAAAAAATAATATCATAGCGAAGAAGATATTATATCAACCAAAACATGAAAGCTTTGCAGAAGCAGTGCAAGCAAGGTAAGACTATTAGCAAATTTGTGATCCCTTCTCGCAAATATGCAGCACAAATAATAAATATATAACACATTAGCAGTATCAAATATAAAACTCGTCCTCATTAGCATATTGCAGCATTGTATTGAGAAATGATTGGCATTTTAGTTGATTGTTAACTGATTTATTAGAAATAAGTTGTTGAGATGAGAGTTAAGTTTGTTAGAGAAGCAGGAATTGCCTTACTCAAACAATTATTTAAGAGCTAATTATACTTCTGATGCTAAACCACTTGCTGCATTCCAGATATTTCAGATGAAGCTATTAGATATTGAAAAGAAACATAAAAATCGATAAGGACTAGTTAAGGTTCCATACACTTTATTGTATGTCTGTATCCAAACACATCATATTAGTTCAAGTGGCTTTTGGTATGAAAAAAGTAAATAAAAACGACTCTGTAAGTGAATAAAAAAGACTTTAAAAGTAAACTTATGTAAACCTATTAGCTCAAGTGGTAGAGCACTATGTAGATGCATAGAAGTGTAGGTTTGATTCCGACATAGGTTATCTTAAAAAATAATTACAAAACACTCTAAAGTTATTCAAAATATTTCAAAAGTAAATAAAAATATCTTAAAAGTAGAAAAACTAAAAAAAAAAATTAATATATGTCAAAAGTAAATCATAATTACTCTATAGTAAATAAATAATGCTAGAAAGTAAATCAAAGTATCATTGAAGTTAATCAAATCATCATTAAAGTATATGAATAAATAAATTATCTTGAAATGATAAATGACTAAGGATACTTTGTTATAGCACAAACACTACGAGTTATTGACTTTCATATGTTTATAAGATGAGTTAAGTCATAAGAAACAAATATATTGAGTTCGATATGATGTAAAGGTTTTCAAATTAAAAGTAAATAAAATTATATCAAAAATAAACATAAAAAGAACAAATCTAATAAAACATTACAAATGCTAATCTTCAGATTTCACACATAAAACCTACGTGGGATTCGAACCCACATCTTTTGTGCACTTGCACAATGCTCTACCCATTGAGCTAGTAGACTATTATAGAGTAAGAATAGTTAGTTAGCACTAGGATCCATTTTATAGAGAATAATCACAAAAGTAAATAAAAAATACTCAAAAGTAAATAAGAAAAAACTTAATCAAAGAAATACATCTTCTCCTAACCATATTTCTTGCATACCCAATCTACGAGCAACAAGGAGCCTGAACCATGCTACTAGCTGCTGCTGCATCTGTATTATCAGCCTCCCAACTAGCCTCCCAACTTACTGCTATGCCTCGTACAATAGTCCATATTATCTCCCTCTCCACGGCACCCAATCAATCCCGTATAATCATCACTGTGTACAAGACAAGACCTTAGGAACTCCCCATGGAAAAAAATTACGAACCACACAAACAAAATAAAAACCCTTATTAAATAGGCATATAGTGCATACCAGCAATATTGATTAAGATTTAAGATGACACTGCCACAACCTCCACGATTCAACTCTAGGAAATTGCTAGCAATTCAGCACATTAGTTTATATTTCTTACAAAAATTAAATAGAAAAAAAAAACAAAAAAAGAAAGAAAAACATCCCAATTTCTATTTGTGGTACCTGACCTTAATGACATCTAAAGCACAATGGTATTATATCAGGGGCAATATCATGCAAAGTAAGACAACAAAAAGAATTGAGCTAGTATATTAAACATTTATAGTAAATTAATATTACTTAAAAGTAAATAGAAAACTATTTAAAGTAAATAAACCAATCTATAAAGTAAAAGACAAGTCTGGAATCATGTAAAACTCCCCCAAACCTTATTTGCTTAGATAGTATGATGATCATGGTCCGTACTCTGTCAGTAGCTCTTGATGGACATTTACTCTAAATAGTTTTCTATTTACATACAATCAAATACTCAACTCGATAACTACAATCAACTTAAAAGTAAATAATATAAACCCCAAAGTAAATTAAATAACCAAAAATATCATGACTAGGTTTGGATTTAGTTATAAGCTAAAATAACCAATTGAAACATATAGCTCTGAAATTGTTCTAAAATTGTGAAAACCTTAATTTCCCCAATCAAAATAGTAAAACCTTGATTCAAAAATCAAATTAAGTCAAAAACAACAAAAATTCAGCAAACTATACAACAATTTAAATGGATTCAAGTGCGAATAATCTCACAATAATTCACTTACAGAATTATTAATATGAACATACATTAACACAAAATCAAGTATTTTCGAAATTCACTCAAAAAAAAAATTCACCAAATCAAAATCAAAAAATTATCATGGCAGTCCAAACAACAAATCCAAATTCAAACTTCTCTAAATTCTCACATGATTTACTCAATAATATTAAAACTAAATTGAAAAAAACCCCAAAAAAAAAAAAAAAAAAAAAAAAAATCAGATTGATATGATTTCAACCGAAAACTTAGTTACAGAAAATCGATAATAAAATTCAAATTAAATTCTCTACCTCGAACTAAAAAAAACGCAAGAAAAATCAACAAGAATAGCAACAAAAACTCAGCAAAAATAACCAAAATAGCAATTGCACAAACTGAAAATAACGAAAACCCTAATTTAAGACTCGAAATCATAAAAAACCAAACAATTATACAGTAATTGAATCAAACACACGAACATCACAATCAAATAACTTACTTGTCTGGTATCAATTTGCAATGAAAAAAGGCGTAGAAAAAAAAGCAAATCCAACGACAGCAAGAGCGCAGAAAAATTCTAAGGAAGAGAGAGAATTAGAGAGAATTCATAGGAAGAGAGAGAAAATGAAACGAAGAGAGAGAAAATGAAAATGAAAATCAGATTAATTGAATCTAGTCATTCAAAGCGTGAATTTACCATTTTGCTCTTAATGAGGCGGGTGGAATATGAATCGTTAGATTGAGTGCGATCAACGGTCCGATCCAGATGAGTTTCTAGTTCTTTTTTTTTTTTGAAGAAAGTTTCTAGTTTCTAATATTCACCTTGGTTCTCTTGATCTCATTTCTATATATATATATATATATAGGAGAATGCTCTCGTGAGAATTTTTCTTATATGAGAATTTTTCTTATGTGAGAACACTCTTTATGTTCTAAATTTTTACTCTTATGTTCTAAATTTTAAATCTGATGTTTTAAACTTTTTTTTTAGGTGTTCTAAATTAAATCAAATGTTCTAATTTATTGCTCACATGTTCTAAACCATAAATTAGTTAAACTTGATGTCATAAATTTTAAATAACTTGTTCCAAACTTTTAACTTTTATGTTCTAAATTTTAAAACGTGTGTTCTAAGATATTTAATTATATGTTCCAGATTTTCTAAGATTTTTTAATTATATGTTCCAGATTTTAAAGCGTATGTTCTATTTTTTTTACTCGTATGTTCTAAATTCTTTAGTCACACTTTCTATATTCAATATCAGTTTGTTCTAAATTTTTATTCACATGTTCATAATCTTAAATCAAGTGTTCTAAATGTTACTCATATGTTTAAAATTTCATAAAGCAAATTTTATAAATTTTTAAACACTTGTTCTAATTCTTAAATCAGATGTTCTAACATATTACTCACACAAATGTTCTAAATTATTACTCATATGTTCAAAATTTTAATTTGAGTCACATGTTCTAAATTTTAACTCGTATGTTCTAAATTTTTACCCACATGCTCTAAATTTTAAATCAGTTCTCATATAAGTATGAATTCTCACATATGGACCTATTCTCACCGGATCCCTCCCCTATATATATATATAATATAGGCCCTTAGATCATTTTAATATATTATATAATATATTTAATATATTATATATATATTATATAATATATTAAATTGATCTAAGGGCCTATATTATATATATATATATATATAATATATATATATATATAATATATTATATAATATATTAAAATGATCTAAGGGCCTATATTATATATTATATATATAGGCCCTTAGATCATTTTAATCGCACGACTCACATGCTTTCCGTATCATTAATGACATTTTTGTAATATTTTAACTTTATAAAGTAGTTTCCAGTTTCATTTCTCAAAAGTAAATGAAAATTTAGTAAAAGTAAATGAAATCAGTCTAAATTAAATAAAATTGCCTCAAAAATTTAAAAAAAAACTGGATAAAAGTTTGAAAAGAGCGAAATTATGAGAATGACATTAATGAGAGCGGGTGCAATGTGAGCCATTAGATGGAGTGTGATCAATAGCTGAGATTAGTTCCTAGTTCTTATTATTCACCTTGGTTCTCACATGATCTCAATTCAAATCTGGTGATGAAGGAATCCCTTTACGTAAACCTCTAGAAGTGATAATCATAGTAGAAGTATTGTTATTGATCATCAAAGAATAGAGATAGAGGTAACACATGCCTTTATCCAACATACAAAAGTATCATTAAAACCAAAAGCTGTTAGAGTTGCCCAGAGGAAATCCCATTCAAATCTGTCATAAGCCTTTTTCATATCTAATTTTAGGGCCAATTGTAGACACTTAAAAATATCTCCCCCGCCAAAGCCCGATGAAGAAACAACCTCTCATTGCCTAATTTGGTACGGTTCACATAATGAATTTAAGAATTACTTGAATAGCCTTTTTTTCTAGCCCAAAATTATTTTAAAACGTCGTTTTATTTATTTAGTTAGCCCAAACTTAGCCCATTTTCCCTTTTCAAAACTCTAGTCCCAAAACCGGTCAAAACTGAATTTTGTATCACATAATTTACATCCAATTTTTGAATGGTTGGATAGCCCTTGAAATTATCTATCCTATGATAGATTATAAGCCCAATTTCGATTTGAAACGAAAAAGATATAATTAATATACCAAACTCTATCCAAAACTGACACCGTTCCAATATTTCAATCATATCTCAAATTCTGCAAAATATATCAATCTTATTCTAATTGGGTTGAAAGGTAGACTTTTAGAGCTTTCAAACGATGTACTACATATTATATATATTATTCCGACTTCTGGATCAAAAGTTATGATAAAAATAAAAACCGCAAAACTAATGTCTTTCGCAACGCGTTTTTGAAAATTGATCTTACACTTAAAGTTTCGACATACAATTTATATTGTTCTTGGCTTTATTTCTAATAAGTAATTCAAAGTCCTAAACAAGATCCGAAGGTTCTACCTTTTTTACCAAGGCGTGAAGGTATGATCCAGAGGGTGATATTAATTTCTCTAACTCTTTAATTTAACTCTTGTGAATTATTATTTTTATTGAAGTTACTAACAATTTATTCATGATGTAGTATTCAAAATTTGTACATTCGAAGTAAGTATTTAATTCTTTGTTTTATTTACTCTAATTATTTTTATTTCTTTGATTACTAGCTTCATGTTTAAGATCGTATTTTGTTATTAGTAACATGCTAGGATTGTTATTAATCTGTTTAGTATCATGTCTATGATCTTAATACTAATGATATTTTTGTGATGATTATTATGATGTTAATTATATGTTGCTTGATTATCAATGATTTATTGATATTGCTTTATCACACCTTTTCTTGCAGGTTTAAAGGGAATTTGTAATTGAAATCACGCCTAATAAGATAATTAATAATTGGATTTAGGTTTAACATGATTTTAATTCAAGTGATCACAAGTATTAGATTTAATTATGCATTAATAATCAACCAACAAAGATTAAACATATTTAGGATTAATTTGATGTATGTATGTTGATCGAAATGCACGCATGAATATCAATAAAAATTAAGTAGAGGCCTATTTTTGGGCGGGTTTTGATCTCTTTAAAAGTTGAATTTGTATCATCATCCCCGAACATCCAGTCATGTTTTTGAACCACTATGGATCGAGTTAGCAATCTCTGTGGTTGCAAAAGGAATGTAACCTTCACAATCATGAACGGTTTACAAGATCCTAAAAATTATAGGCGACTCTTTTTATCTAGATTCTTTCCTAGAATCGCCAGCACACCTAAAAACATGACCCACATGTAAGCCGGAGTTCAAATTCCCCACACCAATGCAACCAACCAGTTTTTTTATTTATTTAATTTATTTAATTTTATTTTTATTTTGACTAGTTAAAAATATTTAGTATCTCCTGAGCTAACATGATGTTATCTTGAATAGCCGTATCAAGCAAAAACATTTTGGTAAGGACCTATGATCTGCTTTACAAAGAGGCTTTAAACGATTAACAAGAATATTTGAAATGCCTTTGTATAACGTAGCACATAAACTAATAGGCCAAAACGGCTAGCCTTAGTTGTATTATCAATTTTTGGAATAAGAGAAATGAGCGTGTGATTAAGTTGTCGTAGTATAATATCGTTATAGAAGAACCCCCGCCCTGTTTTGCAAACATTGATTCCTATGATAGGCTAATAATGTTGGAAAATTTTGGGCCTAAAAGCTTTATAAGAGCATTCCCATCAGTGAGGAGAATTTTGCTCATGAGCAAAAATGGTGAGCAAAATTGTAATAATAGCTTCCCTATCAATGAGCAAATGAAAAAATGCTCATGAGCATAATTGATTTTGCTCATCCTATGAGCAAATTTGAGGATGAACAGTAAATACGTGGGGCCCAACAACTCTCCAAACTGGCGATATTTTTTTGCTTCAAACACCCGCAATACGCCTCGTTTTGGGAAGCCCACAAAAGGGACCATACCCCAAAACGCATCTTTGTGAAGTCTGGGAAGCAAAAACAAACTAAATCCCACTTGCTGACAGGGCGTGTCAGTCGAGCCATCAAGGAGCTGACACGTGTCCCTGTCAGCCTCCTTACCAAATGAGAAAATATGACCGTTTTAAAACGGTACTTAACTTAAAACGGCTATTTTGGCCAATTTTTAAATTAAAAAAAAATTCATAAACGGCTATAATTTTTTTTTTCTCTATAAATAGAGATCCATTTTGACATATTTTGGTACACTTTCAAAAATCACAAAAACACTATATATTATTTTTACTCCCAATTCTAGTAAGATTATTTTTATATTTTTTAATATAAAGTTCAAAAAGGTTTTTATTTATTTATTGTTAATTACTTTTTTAAGTACTCTAATATTTTTTAAAACGTTATTAACGATATTGTAATTATAATATCGGTGTTTTTTAATTATTTATTATTGTTGTTATTTTATTATACAATCCTTGTCAAAAAAAATATATTTTATCATACAATCTAATTGCCTCAAAAAAAATGTTTATACAATCTAATGGATCCCAACAATCCTAATTACTATCAACTTGCTCAACAATTTTCTGATTTAGGTGATGATTTCATCAATAGTCCCAATTTTCAGTTAATCCTACAAAGATTAGGAAACCCGTCTTCGCAAAATTCTGTTCATCAACAAAAACCTCCACAAATTCTTAATGAAAACACTTATACTGAGCAACAAACTCCTCCCGTTACTGAAGGGAGCAACTCTGAGTACAATGTGAGCTAAGAAGAAGTTGTTCTGGAGACACCACAATACCCTCCACCACCTCCAAGGAATCCGATCAATCAACCACTCGCTAAAGCGAGTCGCATTTGGTCGGTTGCTGAGGATGAAGCTCTAATTGGGTTATACCTAAAAATAAGTGATGATGCGCTTCGTGGTACGAACCAAAAGGAATCCGATCTTTGGCGAAAAGTTCATGCAGCTTACTGTAAAGTTCAAGCGGAGAAGCCGCATATACTCCCACCAAGACCTATGAAGAGTTTGGAGACACATTGGAGAAGAATGCAGCTGATTTGCTAGAGTGGACTAGTTGCTATGAGGAGGCTGGCAAACTTCCTAAAAGTGGAAGTGGTTACAACGAAGCTGATCGAATTAAAAATGCTTCCAAGTTGTTTTATCTCTCCTCTAATCCACAACATTAAGATGGGTTCTATCAAAGGAGGAAAGAAAGGGTTATGGTGCTGGTGATGAGGAAGATAGTAGTGGAAGTGGAAAGAGGTCTAGGGATGCGAGTGACGGATTTATGTCAGGAGGTCTACCACGACCTAACGGTGTCAAAAAAACAAAGGCTAAGCGTAAGGGCAAAGCAGTTGCTTCCGATAGTGCAATTTTAAGCATTAGTGAACAGATAAAGGCGTGCA